AAATTAAAAACTTCTGCTCTACGAAAGAAAATGTGAAGAGAATGGGAAGACGAGCCACAGACTCTTAGAAAATATTTGCAAAAGACACATCTGATAAAGGTCTGTTAACCAAAATATACAAAGAACTTAGCAATAAGAAAACAAGCAACCAAATTGAAAAATGAGCAAAAGATCTGAACAGATACTGCACCAGTGAAGGTATACAAATGGCAAATAAGCATATGAAAGGATTCTCACCATCGTGCGTCATTGGAGAACTGCAGATTAAAACAACATGGGGCACCACTACACACCTATTAGAATGGCCAAAATCCAGAGCACTGACAACAGCAGGTAGTGGTGATGGTGGAGCAGCAGGAACTCTGCTTCATTGCTGCCGGGAAGGCAAAATGGCACATTGACTTGGGAAACCATTTGGCAGTTTCTTAGAAATGTAAACATACTCTTACCTTACCGTCCAGCAATGTCTTTCCTTGATGTGTACACAGAGGAGTTGAAAACTTAGATCCATACCAAAACCTACACACAGATGTTTATAGTAGCTTTATTCATAATCGCCAAAAATTGGAAGCAACTGAGATATTCTTCAGTAGGGGAATGGTAAATCAGCTGTGGTACATCCAGACAGTGGAATATTATTCATTCCTAAAAAGAAATGAGCTATCAAGACAGAAGACATGGAAGAACCTTAAGTGCGTATTTACTAAGTGAAGGAAGCCAATCTGAAAGGCTACGTACTATATGATTCCACCTGTATGACATTCTGGAGAAGGCAAAACTATGGAGACAGTAAAGAGATCAGTGGTTGCCAGGGTTGTGGGGAAGGGAGGGATAAATGGGTGGAGCACAGAGGATTTTGGGGCAGTGAAAAATACTCTGTGTGATACCACAGTAAGGGACACATGTTACTATACGTTTGTCCAAACCACAGAATGTCCACACCCAGAACTGTAACGTGACCTGTGCACTTTGGGTGGTGACGTGTCCATGTAGCTTCATCAACTGTAACAAACATACCAACCTGGTGGAGCGGTGTTGACAGTGGGGCAGGCTGTGTGTGTGAGGGGGCAGAGGGTGTATGGGTACTTTCTCCTCTATTTTGCTGTGAATCTTAAAATGCTCTAAAAAAATAAAGACAAAAATTTTTTTCAATTACACCTTATTCCCGAGAACATACTGGGTATTTTCTCCTTCACCAAAAAGTTGAGGCTGACACTGGGCATGGAAATGACTTCTTTCTGAGTTTCTGCAAATAGAGATCGATCACTTACATCTTGTTACTGAGGAGAAAAGCATTTTTTATTCATTAAAATGTAAATTTACTTGGGTCTAATTCATGTCACCAAAAAACACTGGAAGGTTCTTCCATTTAATTTTGACTTAAACCTCGTTCAGTTTAGTGTATATAGTTAATATTGGTTGTCTTCCTTAGAAACTTTCAAACCTTTCTTAAACAGTGACCTCAAAGTTCCTGGAATTTTTCCATGAAAAACCAAAGAAACACAAGTTTTGAAACTTCCATGGACTCGGGAAATATTCTGATCATATGTCCTCCTTGCAGCATAGTCAAGTCTCTGAGAATATCCACACATAACCACACACACGCACACACACACATGCACATGCACAGACACGCGCACAGACACACACATGCGCGCACACAGACACATGCACACACACGCACGCACACACACACATGCATGCACACACAACCACACGCATGCACAGACACACGCACACATGCACACACAACCACACACCCACACACACATGCACGCACACACACACAGCCGCACACACAGACACACACGCACAGACACACACACACAGACACAGACACAGACACAACCACACACACACACACACTCACACAGTGAAAGAATGGCCACAAACTTCCAGCTGCTTTGGCCATAGAATCTTTTTATAAATCAGTATTCTTTATTATCCACTTTGACAGAGATTGCTTGACAGTGCACGGCACGGCATCGCTGAGTTAGTGTGGCCGGCCCACTAGAAGGTGGTTATAAAATGGAAGATTCAGAGCAGAGTAAAGAGAAGGAATGAAAATATTAGAAGGTTTATTTTTTGCATTAGAGACAGTTTTCAAGTTATATTAGACGTGAATAAGCATATTCAACCCCCTTTCTGCTTTCAAAAAAACGATTGTACTTTTAAGTCATTTTTGGACGAGACATTTGTCAGCAAGCGGATGCAGTTAAAGGACATCAATGACATTAGTGCATTATTGCCAGCTCTCTGCTCTCAGCTCACTTTCCTTTCGGGGCTCCCTCAGACTGGAAAAATGGTCTTAAATTCCGTGATTCTGTGAGACGGCTTGAGTCTGTGAGGAGCCAGATGTGCACCTTACCGAGCTTAGGGGCTTTGGTGAAACATTAGCCACCAGCTGTCATTGCATCATCCTTGGGCCCCTGTGACCTCTGATCAGACTCAGTTGGCTAAAAAACTAAGACCACTGTTACGGAAAAAAAAATTTCACCTACTTTGGTATTCAGATAGAATGATTTTAACATTGGTTGTCTACTCCTACCTGGAGATTGTAAAAGGCAGTGATAAACATGACTACAGGGTGTGTGTACTGTGTCCTATGAAACAGAGCTAGTTAATAAAATAAATACTCTCAGCTGGGGATGATCGTGTGTGTCTATCCAGGCTCCCTAGGTTGCCCTGAGCCTGATGAAGAGACCCACGGCCTGGGGACCAGGACGGCAGCAGCCACGCAACGCCAGGGAGCCCACAAGAAAATTGTGAAGGAGGAATCTTATTAGCCAGGCCCAGATGCATCATTTCCTCCAGTCACTGCTCTTTTGTGAAAAATTTTAAACAAATACATATTTTTGTCCCCAAATAAATATAGTGCTGGATGCTTTCCCTACTAGGAAATTAGTAGAAAATTCATTTTCCTACCATCTCCTTTGGATGAACTTTCACCATTGCAAAATCACTCAGAGAAGAGTTCATCCTGCCAACACCGCCCCTGGACCTGTGTCCCCTACATGTCGTCTGGCCCACAATATTGAGGAACTCACCAGCAGGTAAACAGGTGCTTGAATGTGATTTAATTCCCATGTGACCACACTTGGTCACATTTATTATCTGAAGGGAAATATGGCAAAGTGCCACAGTGGTGATGACAGGCACTGGGGGCTCTGCCTTTTCTCCGTGTCCTCCCTGTGAAGTCGTCACCTCTCAGCAGTAAAGCCTCTTGGTGAGAAGCCCTGGGAGCGGGCCAGCCTCACTTCTGGGGATGCGCTGTCCTCCTGCTGGTTTCTCTGAAGCCCCTCGAGCAGTGCTCTTCACACAGGAATCTTTCCCACTCACCGAGGTGTGGGAGCCTCACACACTTGTCAGACGGCTCTTCATTTCAATGACTTGGCTTCTAATTCTCAATTTCTTTCTGTTCCTAAGCTTTTAGAACTTTTCACCAGCCCATGAGAAACATCTTGGAAAGGTCAGGTAACCTTCAAATCTAAAGGCTTCAACCTGGTCTGTCCTTAAGGCTCATTTTTTCCCCCCAAGGAACTCACTCTCTTCCTTGCTAGGCAAAATAGAGATTTTAGCACAAAAAGAAATACACAAGTGAATCCCCCCCAACCCCATATTGGCGTTTTCACAGCTAATTCTTAACATATTTTCTGTTTTTTGTAAAGAAAGAAGAAAAATTGGTAAATATCTTTATAGGTAATATTACATAAATAAATAATAATAGCCAAGCCCAAATCCCCAAATTTCCAGATTATATAAAATTGAAGCTGGGTAGAGGGAGGTTACTGTACATATTCAGTAAGCAATTTGCTGTTTTCCTGTTTAACTTGAGGGGTGACTCAGGGGTCTGGAGAATATGCGAGCTAGTTTTGCAGAAGCTTTGTGAGCTTGGTTTGCAGAAGGAAGAGAATGCCTTTCGGGAGGTTGCCATCACTGGATGGCCGGCCCCCAGCTACTCTTGACACCTAGAAGTCATATTGCCCAGGAGCTTATCGGAGTGACCCCCTTGTTTCTCTGAAGCTCCTCCTGCCAAACCCCTTAGAGCTATAAAACCCGTGCTTTCTGCTCTTGTTAAGGCAGATTTGGGTGAACCCAAGCTCCCATCTTCTGATTTTGGCCAATTTGAATAAACTTTTCTCCATCTCCAAGCACTGATGTCTCAGTGTTTGTCTTACTGCACATGCGGGCACACGAACTTGAGATTAAGAGGCTCGGTATCAAAATTTTAGACACTTATATCTTAATTCTTTTTCGTGAGACGAGAAATGCTCTTTTAAATGAACTGGTAAAAGTTGGTAACAAAGTTGTTTGAAAATGTACAGAAAACTCTTATAAATTTGGATCCCTTTACAGCCGCTCAAAGGCCTAACACCAGTCCTAGGAGGTGAGGGCTCCTGGATGAAGAAGGAGGCCTTAGCTCACCCCTGCAGCCCTCCAGGGACTGGGGGAAGGCTGAGAGAGGTGGAGATGGAGTAGGATTTTTTAGAGAGAGTTTTCAGGGATGTGAGTATACCCTCACACCTGTCCCCACAGGGGGCATCCAGGAACCAACTTTAAGAACCTGCCTGTGCCTCCCTGGCTTTTGGGGAACCCAGGGCAGACTGTCTGACCATCCCGGAGACATCGGGGGAAGGGGTGGGCTGAGATGCTGCAACAGGATAGGAAGGGCTGCATTTGGGAGAAGTGCTCTCCCACCCGCCAGTTGAAGGTGTCCACGCTGACAGAATGTGGCCCAGCTTGAGAGGGAGCTGCACTGAGAGGGGAGGAGATGGTACAGCAAGAGTACTGCCCCGTGATGGGGGACTGTGGGGACCGCCAGAGGAGGTGCTTGCCCATGACAAGGAACTGCAGGTGCGAGGCCCCTGGAAATGGCAGCAGATGCCCACGAGAGAAAGTCCACTCCGAACCCACCAAGTTCAGGCGGCACCACTGTGGGCTCGCAGCAGTGCAGCCAGTCGCGTGAGCATTTCTTGCTTTTTTAATCCCCATCGCTCCAGTCCCCTGCTGGGCGATGAGAGGTCAGAACTCAAGGTCAGTAAGCTGGGTGGGCAGGTGAGGGTAGTGGACAGGGCTTGGAAGAAGAGGAAGCAGCACCAAGTGCCAGTGGAGGAGTCCACGTGTTCCTCCCCGGCTCCCAGGGCAGCGTTCCCATCTAAGGCGGGCTGTTCTCTTGGAGGAGAGAAGCGTTACGTTGAAATGCAATGTGGCGTTTGACTGTTACTCTGAACTGCACGACTCATTACCGAAATCAGACCTCCTCTGGTTACTGGAGATAACCAGAGGTCCCCAGATTCCACCTGAAGGCTGGGAGGGCGGCACCGGGAAGCAGGTGTGAACAGGCAGGTGGAGAGAACAGAGTTGGTTTTGAAGTTCCACGAGTCCAGCTTGTTCAAAGAGAAAGAAATAGTAGCTTTGGGATAGGAAAAAGAGTCCTTTAAAATAGAAGTAAGCTAGTAGAGACCTACTAAACACTGTGTGGCAAAAAACGGTTTGAAAATTACTTGAAAGAATATTCAGTTTATTTTCTCAGAGATGATTTTTAATTGTTAATACATATAAAACACTAGCTTTTGTCCTAGAAAATTTTGCTTAATTCTGTAAAAAATAACCAGTGTGTACTTTATCTAACAAATAAAAACTACCTTGATACTAATAAAATGAAAAATGAAAGCAATGACAATAGCAAAGTCGCTCATTACTTGCTATGCAAAGTGTTTACCCTTTAACTCATTTCCCCTTCACTGCAACACTACTAACTTTAACCCCCGTTTTCCAGGTCAAGGAAATGAAGTTTGGAGGCACTGGGTGATTTGCCCAAGTCTCAGCCCTGGTAGGTGGAAAGTTTATCTCAGTCAGGGGACCACACTCTGCAAAACAAATCTACACACTCTACAAAATACTTACTGACATTGAAATAGGCAGGGGAAGTGTTGCCAGTGTAAAATTATGGCGGGGGTAAACAGGAAGGATGGTGGTCTTGCTTCTGAAGTTTCAGGGTGGTGTGTGAGCTGAGAGAGGTCTGTCTGGTTGAAGTGGTCCCTGGAAACTAGTGGCAGATTGTGAAGCCACAGGGGGCAGGTGGTGGCGAGTCCAGCTTCTGGACTCAGGAGGGAGGGAGAACTGCGGACGTCATTACAGTGACCGAGGGGGTGAAATTCGAGTGCACAAAAGCGCTCAGAACCGGAGAGCTGTGTCAGCCACGTTGGCCAGGAAGGGTGTGAGCGTGTTCTGCATCCTCCTCTACTGGGTCTGGCACAGCACTGGTTTACAGCCACCTGGAGTTTAGCTGCATTGGCGCCACGTGTGGATCTGTGGTGGTTCGTTGCTGTGGAGAGTACAGAGTGCGTGTCCCTGGGGAAAGAGCTCTTCTGGTGCCCAGAGCGCGTGGACGCCAGCCTGACACAGGCCAGGGAGGGCGCCACCCGTGAGCTAGGGGACTGGCGCCTGTCTGGAAGTGCGACCGTCCACGTGGCTGGGGCGCAGTTATCAAGACCGACCCTGCTCCAGGAATGATTGTGAATCTGACCAACCTCAGAGAGGCTGCGGCAGTTATGCAGCCCCTGGATCATCCGGATCTGGGTGTTCCCTACTGTGCCCGTGTGTGAGCACCACAGAAAGTGTAGCTGGGTATATGTGGAAACACTTCCAGAAGTTTCTTCCTGTGGGAGTTCGATATAAAGTGTATGAAGCTGAAAATAATATTGTAATCTAAAAGAGGAATCACTCTCAGGGTTAACATTGTGGACTGACTACTTTTTTTCCTATTTGGGAAAGCTCTTTACCCCTTGGAGTGTTAAGAAGTCATCACATAATTGCTGCCCTCCACATTTTGTTACAAAATCCTTGTTTGTTGTAAGAACCATTTTAAACAGAAATCAATGTCAAAACTGAACGTGTACTATATCCTGAATATCATGTAGAGAGCCTTTTATCTGTAGATCAAGAATCACTGCATTTTCAGCAGGATGTTCCCTGCTGTGCCGATGGGGAGGGCCCAGAGGCAGGACCTTGCTCCAGGGAGAAACCACAGCACGAGCAGGCCTGTGCCCACTCCACCCCTCCACCCCGGGTCCCGGTCCCACATGGTGGCATCTGACAGGCAAGGGGGCAGGGCCCATTCCTGCTGTCACCTGCATCAGGGGCACCTCCTAGAGCAGGACTCTCCACCACAGGAGTGACGCCCCCTGGAGCTGGGCCCAGTGTGTGCCCTGCGTGTGGCACAGAGCTCGGAATCATTTTAGAGAAATTGCTCCTGTCTCCCAGCTTTCCTGTGTGGACGGGGGCCTGGGGAGGAGGAAAGCTGGGCTCAGAGCAGAGCACTCAGCGGGACCTCCTGGACCACACCCTCATTCTGAGCAGGTCACTCCCGGCCCGTTGTGTGACAGATCCTGTCTGATGGCCTCTCCTCGCTCCGGGCTCTGGGGTAAGCGAGACTGGCAGCCAGGCGAGACTGGCAGCCAGGCGAGACTTGCTACGTGACCCCAGGCCAGTCCCTCAGCCCTTGAAGTACCACTTGTCCTGGGGAGCCATCCTAGGACCACATGTGTAAGTAAAGGTCACAGACCGTGAGTCCTGAGGTCCCCAGTCCTGTGCGAGCTTATTAAATGTACTGTGAAGAAGTTAACCCTCTGCTTGAAGGCCGTGCCGCCTCTGTGAGCCTGGCCCTCTGTGGAGGAGCTACTGGCTGCTGCTCTGGGTCTGGGCTCTGGGAGCTGACGTGGGGCGGAGACGCTGGGTGGAGCCCCCGGGCCCCTAACTTCTCCTCCCTGCTGGGCCTGCAGGTGGCGGTGGGACGCCAGGGGCTCCTCGGTCACCGCACCATTCATGGGCACCCCTGCCAGTGTGCCTCCTTCCCCCACATCCTGCTCTAGGTGCACAGTGTCTCACTGTCAGATGGTGAGCACCGCACAGTCATAGCTCTCCTCGGTCCTGCAGAAAGGGAAGGCGGACGCCCATGAGCAGGGCCATTCTCTCCTCTCGGGTGGGGGTGGATTGGCCCTCGGCAGCCTCCATGCCCCGCACTGCACATCCTGGGAGCTGGGCGCCCCGTCCTCATCCTTGCTGCTGCTCCAGAGTGTGAGAAGGGCAGAGGGAGGGTGATGCTGAGCTAAGGGGGTTCGCCGGCCCATCTCCATCCCGGCTTCATCAGGGAGGGAAGGGCTCCCGGGGCAGGCACCATCTGTTCCCACCAAGAGGTCTGGGAGGCAAGATTTTCCCACCTCTGGACTCCGGGCCAGCACTGCCCCCAAACTCCCCTCCCCACTCTGTGACACGAGAACTTGTCTCCAGTACTTCCTGGAGCCTGAGGGGAATTTCAGTCTCTGCAGCCTCCTCCCTACAGCTGCACAAGTTCAAGGTAGAGAGAAAGCGGGAGAGGACAGGCTGAGCCCGATCCTGGGGTGGGGTCTTATAGGTTTTGCTCATCTTGGCAAGTCCTGAATGCTTTCGTTTGTTTTTTTAGTGACGGAATTATGGAAACTTAAGGTGCAGTGAGGGAATGGCGGTGAGGGTGGGTATACCACGCTGTGGTTACCCTTCCTCCATGGCCCCATCCCTTCTGGAAGCCAAAGCAGGCACTCGGGAAGCACAGACCCTGAGTCCTTCCCTTCCCCCTAGCAGGACACAGACAGAGGCCACCACCTCTTGTGAGAAGACATATTTTATGAAACAATAAAAATTGTGGTAGGAAGAAGCCATTAGCGTATAGAAAATGTGCTAACGTGAGAAAAACCAGGTTTTCTCCACATAAACTACATTTTTTATTGGCGGAAAGTTTCCGTCCCAGGAAAGGTGTGAGAAGCACACTCCAGCTGATGACGGGAGACACACTTTCAAAGACAGCGTGTTGGGTGATGGTGGGCAGAGGCACCTCCCACCCTTGGCCCCTGCTGGCAGGGTCCGCCTGGGGACCCCAGCTCCTTGGGTGGGAAGGCCCACCTGCTCTTGTTTGGACAGCTGGGGCCCCTGGGGGTGGCTTGGTGACTATAGACCGTATCTGTTATCAGTCTTCTCTGCTCTGGGGAGGAGAGAACCTCCTGGTAGCAGGAATGCCCACCTCCTGGGGCCTGGAATTGCTCTTTGTGCTGACTTTTCTCCGAGGCACGGAGTCCTTGGTGAAGCCCCAATGTCTCTGCCAGGATCTGTCCAACAGATGTTACAATCATCTGAGCTTCAACAGCCCTGCCGTTCGTAAGAGATCTGCTTTTGACTGGTCCAGGGCTCTGGGCAGTGGCTGATGCAGGCTTGCCTTTTTGAGGGAGATCTTCTAGTCCTTCATCTTTTTTACTGGGGTCAAGATGCTGCAGAGAGTGCTTCATCTGTTTTCTAAAGTGGCTAGAGTGTGCCTTCTCTAGCAGGAGCTGGAGGCATTTGCTCCCAACAGTGTCTCCTATTCCCCTGACTTGAGGAGGGTGGCTCATCTCACTGGCTTGGGAAGCCCTCGGTCCTGCAAACGTGTCTTCATACTCTCCTGGTTTGGGCCTCCTACAGTCAGCCCTCTTGTCAGTTTGGGCAAATATCTTGCTCTGGCTCTCATGTGGGTCCTTAACTTTTGGTGTCCTGGGCTCCTGCTGACCCCGGCTTCTCCGTGCACTCGATGTGAAGTCATATGGCACCTGGGAAGCTGGGGTGTCCCCACTGGTGCATTCCTTCTGGGGACTGGAACTACGGCAGGGGTCTCGTGAGGCCTGATCCCCACTCTCCAACCTTGGCTCATTCCTGGCCGTTGCTGAACTTGGACTCGGCTCCGGGCTGCCTTTCTCGGCCCCCATGACGATCTCACTGTGCCAGTTTCTGCCCACAAGGCTGCATGTGAGGGACTGAGAAGGTGGCCTGCCCTCTTGTCCAGTAAGAGGGGCCTCTGAGGGCCCATCACCAGGTGGTGTGCCTCCTAAGGCCTTCTGGATTTCTTCACATACAGGTGAGGGGGCAGGGAGGGGACTCGCCAGGGTGGGAATGGACTCTTTTGTTATCAGTTTTTCTCTTTGTCGGGGCTGAAGAGGTTTTCCCAAGACCTTGGTGAAGTTGGCTTTTGAGTGGGCCCCAGATACACAGGCAGTTGAGGGGGGAAAGGCAGACCGTGGAAGGGGCGAGGGTTGAACCTTTTTCAACTTAAAGACTTTTATGGACTTGAGGACCTTGAGGGGTAGGCCCCACTGATGTTTCACTTGAAGCTTTATAATATGCGCTTCCAGCACCTGTCGAGTGTGTGGACTGAGGACAGAGTGCTCACAGGAGGTGTTCACACAGCGTTCCGGACCCTTCAAGGATGCTGGATTTCCTGTTTCCATGTGAATGTGGGACTTGGGACAAACATAGTTGGCAGCAAGCCATGACTGACGCACGCTCACAGGGATCAAACCCTCCTTGATCTGCACTGACTTCATGCCCAAATGGACTTTCAAGATTTTTTCTAGATGTTTCTTATCTGGGTCCCTGGGTAAGCAATTTCCTGAGTCCGTCTTCGAGGGCCTCATCAAGTATCTTTCTGACTCCTCAGAGTTCATTCCCGGAACCTTCGCTGGGAAGCTGGCTGAGCCCCTGGAGAGATCTGGGATCCCCTTCAGACATTTCCCTAGACCTCTGCTAACGGCCTTCCCTACCTGGAACTTTAATTCACTCCTCCCATGGGACTTTCTAGGGCACCTGGACCACATTTTCTGTGTGTCCTGGCTGCTTTCGTCTACAAATGCAGAGGGCTGTGAGGGCTCCTGCTTGCCCTGTGCCTGATAAGCCCCTGGGAATTCATTCTGAGGCTGCATCAGTTCCAGAGACACTTGGATCCTGTGGGGCAGGACATCCTGGTGTTCATCTTTGATGAGCCTCTTTTGAAGATGTTGCTTTTGGAGATTAGGGCTGATCAAGTCCCCATGAAGGGTGGAAACTGACTTGTGGGCATGGGAGGCCCCACTGTCTTGGGGAAGATTGGGAATCAGTTGGCTAAAGACTTCTTCAGATCTTTTTACCACAGAGGGTAAAGCCCTCTCCCTTTTCAGTTGCTTCTGCAGCGAGAACAATTCCAGGTGTATTTTAGTTGGGATGAAAGATTGTGTCTTATTCTGGTGTGTCGGGCAAGATACCCCACAGGTCCTCATCTGAAGTGGAGAAGAAGGTGTTCGGGTTGGGGGAGAGGATGCCAGATGGGCCTGGGTCTGGGTCTGGGGCAGAGGTGGGGGCTGGAACTGGGGCAAGTTTGGAGTCAAAGGTTGAGGTTGGGCCCCAGGATAGGGCAAGGGTGGGGCCTGGGAAAGCCGTGAAGGTATTTCAGGCCAGATGGGAACTGGAAAGCGATTAGAGATGCCATTGAATAAAACGGAGGGGGCCTGTAGTTGAGAAGAGCTCCTAGAGACCAAGGCAGTAGCCACCAGGGACTCGCTGTGCAGAGAGGGGAGACCCCAGTAGAGCTGGCTGCATTTCTGCTGTAAATGGTCCCCCAAGGCCTTGGGATAGGAGAGCTGCTGAGAACCGGGCAGCTGCTCTGGTTTGTCTTTCAGGGTCCAGAGGGATTGGGAGGTTGTGGTGTCCCGCTCAGCACCCAGTGATTTCCACGTATTCCCTGAAGAGTTCAGGTGGTAGTCTGAGCTCAGCTGTTTCAAAAATGACACATCCTTTTCTTTCTTCTTCCCAATCATCAGTTCTACTCTTTGGGTGATCTGTATGTTCAGCATCTTCTGGACCTCAGCGTTGACAAATGAGGGGCTACCAGCCTCTACCTGCCTGTCTGGGGGTGCTCCCGAGAAGGAGGCCTCCGGTGGGTGGTGGGACAGGTGCTCGTGGTGGGACTCGTGCTGTGATGAGGTGAAGAACAAGGCCTTGGTAATCTTCCACCACTGGCAGAGGAACGAAATGGGACAACTTGTGCGGACAAGGCCTGAGATGGGGGATGCCAAACCGGAGTTACCTAGAGGTAAGCTCCCAGCAACGGTGCCCAGAGGGATTCTCTGCAAGTCAGGTCGGTCTTCTTGAGGGTCTGCTGACAGGGTGCAGGCCAGAGGTGGAGGGCGCTTGGTCAGCAGAGCCGAAGAAGCCGACAGGTACGCGGTGGGAGCAGCATCCTCCATCCACTCCCCGTGTGGCTGCTGGGCCCCAGCAGGCGCTGCCTCGCACACCTCACCGGGGGGGTCCTGACGTGAGAGCTGATGGAAACTGCCCTTGTCAGGGAGCCTCCCCAGGTGGCTGCAGGAGACAGGAGGCACAGGCTGCTGCCAGGAGCAGATGGGCCAGGAGCAGATGGGCCAGGAGCAGATGGGCCAGGAGGGCCAGGCAGGTCGGGCAGGGGTGGGCACCCGCGACCCCCCACAGCCCCCACATCGACTTCACAGTGCTCCTGCTGTCCGTCTCCCCAGGGCTTTAGCCACACCCTGTCCCCGTGGCTCCCCCTCCCAGATCAGCCCCAGGCTGCAGGGGTCACGTCATCACGTCATAGGCTCTGGGAGGAGGAAGGACCCGAGAGAGAAGGGGAAGATTCTTTACCTCTGCATAAGTAAAACCAGGCCCCGAGCCTCCTCTAGTTCCTTCAGGCAATCTCTGCAAGCTAGAAATCAGGAGTTGGTCATGATGGTGAAGGCAGGGGCCTAGGGGTGTTACAGGAGGCTGAGGGCAAAGTCCCTCTAGGGGAGACCGTGGGGAGATGAAACTCTGGAGCCCAAGATAGCGTCCAAGGCCACGTGACCCCTGACAGGGATGGCAAGGCTCATACTGGGGAGCACTTTGTCGTTTACAAAGTACTTCCACATCCATTACCCCCTACAGCCCTCGCCACCTCCCTGTGGGGAAGAAAGGGCAGGGGTCACCTCACAGAGGAATCTGAGCCAAGTTAAACAACTTGTCCACAGTCGGACCTGGAGGTTCCACCTCCCAATCCAGACACTATTGATCCACTACAGCCCACTGGCTCCTGCTGGGCAACGCCCACTCCAGGCCCCTCATGGCTTCGTTCTGGGCACAGAATCTGGGAAGTATCTGGGTTCTGATCTCCTTGCCAGGAGCCTCCTCAAGGGCTCTGTTTCCTGAGGGAAACGGGAATCTCTTTCTACCACTGTCGTCCTGGAGACCGTGGAGCCCTCAGGGACGGGTGGGATGGAGGCTAGCTCCGGGGCAGGGCTGAATGGCAGCCACTTACCTCTCACAGCTCCACTTTTCTTCCTCTTCCTCGTTCTGCTGCTCCTCCCCCGCGGCTCCCCGTGACGCTGAGACAAGACGAGACAAAACGAGGGGCTGGGAGCCAATTCTCACCGTCCTCTCTCTGGACAAGCTGGGGACGCTCAGTGTCCATGAACCATGTGACTTTCTACACGTAACTGCTGGAGCGCTGTGGGTTTTCTTTCCTTTTACTCATTTTTAAAGTAGATAGAAATATTCTGTTTTCCTTCTTTGAAGAACGCAAAGAAGGTGTTTCTGTGTGAGACCCACCATGGATCTCTTCCCTCACTGTTCCTCTGCTCCAGAAACACACACTCTCAGACCTACAGGTGCGTATCTGAGCCTCATCAGAGAGGACTCTGCTGCCGGAGGCCAGAGCCCCACTCCAGCCCCTGCCCAGAGTCTCTCAGGGGCTCAGCACTGCCCTCAGACCAGCCCGAGACACCTGTCCCGGGAAGGCGGCTGGTGACCCAGTGCTCAGGGGTCTGTCCTCCCGCAGAGATCGGGCTCTTAGTAATGCAGTCCTCGGCCACTGGTCACTGAGTTTGGGACTTTGTCCTGGAGCCCTGGAGCACACCTGGACTCCTGGTCTGAGATCTTCAGATGGAAATCCTAGTGCCCACTCTAACCCCCGCC